CGCTGTCAACTCCTTCAGCTTCTGATCTCGTTCGTCGTCGAATCAGCTCTTGTATCGGAGCTCTCTGACTGAGTATAGATCCTCGGCTGTACCGAGCTGCCCTTGGGATCACCTTCGCAGTCGATGGCCTCGGTGGCTCCTCTGTTGGCTGAGGAACTGGTGGTGCTCGACGAGAGGTAGCCAGCCGTTCCTCTTGCAGGCGTCGAGGCCCGCCGAAACATCTTGGCATTCTCGGCATGTACCACCGCAACGCATGCTGCTCCAAGTCTCCGAGGAATAGTGAACAAGCGTCACAGTGAATCCAAGCCCAACCACCATTGCCGAAAAGCAGGAAGCACCCCCGACGGACCTGCGGCATCCGCCGCTACATCAGTTGGAAAGCTGGAAAGCTACCTCGAGTGGCCCGAAGTTCTCTTTCAGCAGAAATTCAAGCTTTCTCCATTGCGGAGGAAGAGTTGATGTTCGTTTGGTTGGAATGGACCGAAATGTGTGGAAAGGACATTCTTCCGCGCGACCCCACCAGCATTGTAAAGGATGTAAAAGGGGGATTGGTGACAGACGCAAAGTCCCTATTCGACATAATTCAGAAAGGATCCCACACAACAAGCGGTTCTTTCAGAAAGATACTCTGTCCTTGAAGTGATGTCTCTTTTTAGCGGTTGGAAATGTGTGCCAATGAAACCCGCTCAGTGCACAGTGGAGCCCAGCTTGCGGGCTCTTTAACGAAACCAGTGACCAATGGGACACTGCTGAATGGAACGTGGACCCTCGTGAATGATCCAAATTTTACAAGCGAAAAACGCTTGAGACGGACATATCGGGAGTCTTCGTCAAAGGTTTTAGGGGCATGCGAATCTGGCTAGCTTTCTTTGTTGATTCCGACTCCATCAACGCAGCCGCCATCACGGGCGTATTTTTCCACAAAATCACGCGCGTTATGGAGGTGACCACGCATTTCTCCATGATCGAGAAGCGCTCCCAAAATTCGAGGATGCGTTCCAATGTGTGCAGACACAGTTTTGTCTCGACCCGGATCATTCAGCTTCTTCAAGTCCACTCGGAGAAGTGGCCTGCGGCCTACTTCCCCTCGATATAGGGGCTGGTCGTAGCGAGATCCCTTGCTCACGATCAAGATGTTTGTCTGCGCAAGGTCAATGGCAACCTGTGCATCTTTCTGCCTGCTGAACCTTTGGCCAATGAACGCGGCCTCATACTCATTCATGGCAACTTCAGGATCGATACCCGACCCTTGGTCTGGGGAAGGCGATGCAACATTTCGAGCCAAGTGGCAACAGCGAAACTTTCGATGACACTTCGGCACACTCTGGAAGTTTCGGGTGGCATCGATCAGTCCCCCGGTCAACGAAATCATCAAAAGACCTGTTTTGCTGCAACGAAAGATGGGGAGTTGGCGACCTTCAATATGAATGGTGCCTCTTGCCAAATCCTTCACAAGGCCTAAGTGGGACTGCGCATGAAGCGGCAAAAGCATCGGCGATCGACCCTCTTGGAGCTGGTGGGACTCAAGGATTCCTCGAATGGGGTTTTGGTCGTCTCGCATGTTCAACGAAAATGGCAAAACCCTGCAACCTTGGGCCTTGTTGCCTTGACTCCCAAGACCTGAGAAAACCTTGCCCTCTTTGGATGCCCAGCCTACTTCATAACCCAATTGCTTGAATTTGGCTTCTGCTTTCTCCATCCAGTATTGCGAATAGCAAGTGGTATTGCAACCCTCGTCCAAAATGGCATAGATATTGGGGTCACTATCGCACCACATGTCTCTGGTTTCTCGTTGGGGGTATACCAAACCATTGCTCACGCTCGAATGCACTTCCGAATGGAACACGAATGCACTGGTCTCGACGGCAGCGTAACCTCTATGTGTTCGGGGTCCCGAAGGCCCCATGCAATCTCATCACCAATTGGGTCCAGCAAGATCTGATCTCGAAATGCGGCTTCTTGCAGTAGTTCATGAAGTCGAGTCTGAGTCAGTGTGTCGGGCGACGACGAACATTCAGACTCTATACCAAACCGCAAAAAATGCCTAAGATTCTGCCTACCGTTTCTGGGGCCAAAACTTCTTGATCATCTCGGGCGATAGCTTCAATGACGCTAACCTTGTCTTGGGTTGTTGACTCAACAGCTTTTGCCAAGGCAACTCGCTCATGGCGTAGTTCCATTGGCAGTTCATCAATGAACGAACAACATTGCTTGCACCACACGCGATGAGTCGAACGGCTTGATCCCCTGTTATCGGTGGATTCACGCGGGCAATCTTCAGGCTTGCACTGGGGTTTCTCTTACCTTTTCTCGGTGGATGAATGCCCACAACGCAAACACGCGCGACGAATCGTGCATCCCGTGCTCCCTCGGAACGAAAACTCCTGGCAGTTCTGACACTTGTTGGGCAATGGCGGATAAGGCGGTGTCACCTTTGCAGTTCCTTTCTCGGTGCTACCGGGCAATGCAGGGGGCGGTTGAACAGGTTCATCACGAAGGTAAATCTCTCCACCCCTGAACTCAAAGAACTGGTCAACCCATTGCACATACTGCTGGATTCCGGGAACACGAGAACCTTCCTTCTTTGCCCATACATAGAATTGGGGTTGTCGATGCAGAACATCCCAATAGGTCTTCCCCTTGAACTGTCCAATCTGAAACACATTGTCGAATCCCATGGGGCGCTCGACCGACGACGGAATCACTCGGGCGCGGACGAAGTGGCATCATTTGCGTGAGCCATGGACGACTGTGCCTGCGACGGACGGGGACGTGAACCCTTACCGGATGCTCCTGATCGAAATGCCATCATGGCAGCATTGGTCTGCTCATTGGATGTGGCTGCACCTACATAAACAAACCCTTCTTCATCATCTGATGATTCACTCTCATAGGCTAGGTTGGCAGTAGGCTTTGGGGGTTGTGGCTTGTTGGCAAACTTGCAACCAGGGTCACCTGCCCAATGTCCCATGCCTCCACAGCGAAGACACTTGGACTTGGCCTTCAGGTCACGAAGCTTGGCGCGGCGTTGCTCAATGCTCATCTGGCTGCGGACAACCTTGCCTTTGCCTTTACATTTGAATCCTTTCTTGCCGAAACCTTTGCCTTTGCCTTTTGCTTTGCCGAATGCATTGAATGCAGATAGCTGAAGCTGGATAGCTTCTCCTGCTTGACGATCGTCCGCCTCCTCGAGGTCCAACATTGCGTTCAAGGCAATTGCTTCTTCTTCATCTTCAAGGTAATCGAACTGTTGCTCCTGCGCTTCTTCTTCTTCATCAAATCAATCCATCTCCCAACCAGGCGTGGGAGTCGCCTTCATCGAAGTTGGTCTCAAAGGTCTCTTGCATGGTTTCCCATGTTGACGACGAATGCTCATCCACTTCAGGGTATGAGACATATGCAGAACGAAATGATTTGCCTTTTCCTGAATGGCTATTCGAACCATAGCTCTTGCCCTTCCCAGTCATACGTGAAGAGCGGCCTTGCCATGTCTTGCCACCTTCTCTGAGGTGAACTCCTGAGTAGTGGTCAACGAGAACCTTGCAATATCCTTCGAAGTTCTTGGGGTTGGCGCATGCTTTGGCCACAAGGATCTCCTGGCGTGACAAACCAGACAATTCGAGCAACAGTTCGGCGCGAAGACTGTCACTCAGCATCATGGTCGAATCCAATTCCTGCAACACGGACCACCAACGTTTGCGACGGTTGGCGCGCGACAGCATGGACTCTCCAGACTGGCGAGACAAAGGGCCTCTGTGCTTCTGGCCAGCACGGAACAACTCCTTCGCCTCCTCATTGGCACGTGGGAAAACGAAAGCCTTCATCTTCTGCAATAGGTCTTCCAATCCTTCCTCACTGATCAGGGCATCAAGACCGACGTCCCTGGCGAGCAAAAAGGCATCTCCACGCAAACCTTCAAGAATCTTGTTCACGAGTGTGCTGATGCCTGGCTTGGTGACAACTACTTACTACTTCCTCTTCTTCTTCTTCTTCTTCCTCTTCTTCTTCTCTTCTTCTGGTTCGACAGGAGGGAAACCTGGGAGCTCAGCGTCTTCCTCAGTACCTCCATTGGGCATGTCACTCCTCTTGGGTGTTGTCGCTGGTGTACTCTTTCTGGAATTGCTCTTGTGTTTGCTGCCTTCTTTCCACAAGCGAATGCGAAGGCGGGTGCGGAATTCCCAGTCATGAAACGATGCGGCATCACCATACTAGTAGTAGTTGTACGAGCCAGATTTGGTCTCCAAATCAGTACGGCCTGCTGAATTCGTCGGGATTAAAGCGAAGTCTTGCGACCGACATTCCTTGTCTGTCAGGCCTCCTCGGGCAATTTCAAGAACACTTGGTTGCAAATTCTCGGCACGAATGCACGAACGAATCCTGGATCGGCGGATTTACGGGTTGATGGATGCAGTGGGACGAACCCGAACCTGCTCCGCTACCGACCGCGACGTCCAACGGGCGTTTTCACGCAGACGTAAGCGCGTGTAAGCTCAAGGGCCCTGTAAACCCAAATGGCGGCGGAATGCACCATGGACAGAACTCGGCTGTACACAAGATACCAACAACAGGGAAAATTCACATGTATTTCGCCGTCTGGTCCTCTTGCACTCTATCCAGGAGCACGCGCGTATATTATACAGTAATATATACTTTTGACGTGAGCAACCCCAGTCTTGTTTGTCTACACCTTCGTTCGCTCATTAACCCGCGTGCGTCTCTGCTCACCTATGGTCTGTCAACAAACTCGTTGTTGTCACTTACAACGAACTACCCCAAATGAACTGAAGTGAAGGGTAGTCTGCAAAAATCAAGTTGAATAACGCTATATAGGTCTATCCCCCTTGATGGCCACAGCCGTTGCACGCTAGGCGCAACCTCGTTGAGTTGAGAAAAACATGTACAAACCACTGATGGCCTCATTGAAAAACAACATGCAAAGGAAGTAGGAACAAGCATAGATGAACACAGGAGGAACGGAAAGGACTGACTCGGCCCTCGGCAGCGTTCACGATGGAATTAATCTTTCGGATGTTTGGAACCTGCGCCAGCAAGTCATCGTCACAATCACCAACACACTGAAAAGTTTGTGGCTGGCTTCATGGCCGCTGAAGCGAACCTGCCTTTTCTGCTTGATGGTCCAAGTTCAATCCCTGCTGTTCCTGAACGGCGCGAGGGGGCACTCCGATGGGCTTTTAAAGGTTGCATTGCAATACCCTTCCCAGTAGAACAACCATTTTTCACCTTGTGAACAATGAGGCATTCTGGAAAGATTATTCCGCTTCTGGGGCTGACAAACAACTGACAAGAAACACTGTGCCGTGGGACCACTGGAGCACGTGCTTGCTGCGCCCACTTCGAGTAGAAAGGCAAACAGGCAACCTGCCGCCAAATTTCCCAGGGTCGAACTCGAATGAACACGCAAGATTGGTCGGCGCATCACCGTGCATCAAAGCGACATTGCTCCGATGCATGCGGGCGCCGGAGATCCCCGAGGATCCGTAGATTGGCATGGCTAGGCCAGGTTTTCTCTGCAAGGCGCACTCTGGGCATGGCAAGTAACTTCGCCAAGGCTGCATGTGGGAACAAATGCGCATAGGTTGTGGCATTCTTCTGTATGTGCTCAACATTTCTCCTCAATAAAGCAGGCGGCTTTCTCTACTTTCAGTCTGAGCCAATCAACGTGATCAAATTGAGAAATGAAAATGACTTGGTTTCCAACATCCTGCCACAAATTTCGGATGTAGTCGTGTTCTTGGTGGACGCTGTCCTTTGGTTCCCCTGCTCTTGCCACTCGGATCGTCGCTTTGGGGCGTGCCAAACCTTGATAGCGTTCATCATATTAAGGATGGAACACACAGTACTTATATATTCTTTTGCACTTACCTCAAGAAGCCTCCTCCAACACTGCCAGCTGTATACCTGATCTCCAAAACTGTTTTCTTTTTGGAACTCTAGGCCTATTTGGATCTCAAGACCTCGGCCGACATCTCTACTGGATGTCATGGCTTCAAGCGATCTCTACCCTCTAGAATCCTCTAGATATGCAGATCTACACCTGACAGCAGCCTTGAGGCTCCCCGCCTAAGACCTCCTGGCCGTCAAGACAAGACCTCTATAACCTCTAACTCCGTAGACTTTTGAATTTCAAAGTCTAGACCTATAGACCGGCCGCTAGACCTAGAGCTCCCAAATCTGTGATGTCCAGACCCCTCGAATTGTCCAAACGTTGAGACTTGTTTAGACCTCCAGATCTTTCTGTAGGTACAGGCGTATGACCGTCCTAGTCAGTCACACTGCGTGAAACACTACTCCCCGCTGAACGAACATAGGAGGAGTGAGGTATGTACTTTGCACGAATTGGGGCCTACGAAGGTGGCCGGTCCCCGGCGCGAGCAACACACGCGATGACAGAACCCGCCTTGAGATGGAGAGGATTCTTGACCTCAAGCTGCGCTGGTTTGTTGCTAGTGTTCTCTCGCTTGGATAACTCATGTATGCAATCAAATCCGATTCAAAACGCACAATTCCTTACGATTGGCCTTTCAGAAGGCAGAAGCTTTGCCTATGTATGGCTCACGCTCCCGCGCGACGAATCAGCACCACAAAAGTACACGCGTTCAACCACCGGAAACCGGTCGCCGGAGCGATGAAGAGTTCGGCGACCGGTCCCCTGGCGCACGGCGCGCAATTAAAGCGACCATCAAGAGCCAAACGCTCCCGCAGTGCGATGTAGGAAAAGCGGACTCTGACTCGCCCACTCTGGCCACCAGTCGCGGTCCCAGCGATCATCAAGGCCAACGAAAAGCCAAAGCCTCACCAAAACAGGCTATTAAGCCAACGTCGATGCCGAAGGCACCTCCGACTCCACCGAGGGCAACTGCACCGCTCGCAGAGAACGAGACTGTTTCTAGCTCCAGTCAAGGGCAGTGCCAGGAGTTTCCAATTTGGCCAATCTGAACTCCAATCAGGTTTGGTTGCAACAAGCGGAATCGCTTTCCTCCGCCCGCATTCAAGAAAGGCCTATGAATGGAGGTCTACCAAGTGTACATGTGTATACATTAAAAAGAAATATATGCAATGGTTGACCCTCGACGACCTGCTGACTGTGATTCGGGTCGCTGGGAAGTATGAGCACACCCCTTGGAGGATCAAGGCCATCCAACACCATAACGACTGGTTGTATGAAACGGTCCAGGGTGCGCTGCCAGAGCACGATCGTTTTGCAGCGCTGGATCCTGAGTATGGAGCTGACGAATACAACAGCGGAAAGTTTCCGCAGATTCCTGTCAACGCCATTGGAAAACTGGACGACATTCGCCCGACGATCTTCTACCACCATGACTATATGCCCATCATGCGTCGACGCAGGACGTCATCAACATGGGGCTCGTTCCGGTTTCCTGACAAAAGAGGATCCTTGGAGCATCAAGAGTACGGACTATGCTGCAATGGCTGCAACCCGTCCCATGTGTGTTGCACTTGATCCGCGCACGATGGCGCTCCATGAACATCGCCTCGTGGAAACGACGGCTGGTACGGTTCCAGATTGGATTGCCTGTCGCTACATCATCTTTGTGTACGACATGGCCGCTGGATGCTTCGCCTATGCCAACCATGTGTATGCACATTACCGTGCACCCTTCCAAAACAAGAAGAAGGCATTCGCTGAAGCATGCACCGGGGGGCCGCTTGCCGGAGATGAAAAACTGATCACATCAAGACTCGGACGTGCTTGATGAGTATGAGAAATGGTGTGGACAGGTCAACACGTTCCAACCAGTCATCTTTGCTGGGCAAGTCAGCGCGCCGATGTGAAAGACCAAATGAGGGCGGGAAAGAACAACTCTGATCTCACTGTGCTGGAGTGAGAGTGCTTGACCCGCAGGCCAAACTTCAAGGCCAACCGGAACTCTGTCAGCCCGGTCGAATAGTTGCCGAACTACAACCAGGTTGACTTCCGTCTGATTGATCCTGCCAAGGAGGGATATGGCAAGACAAGGTGGCTTGTTGTGGAAGGCATTCAGACGCCTGAGGGATCGCGCACACCTATGGGTCAATGCACTGCTCCGACTGCGGAATGTTTTGGAACACCGCATCTGACCTCTGCAAGGCTGCACAGGTCATCCGAATGGAAGAGATTGCTCGCGACATTGGAGTCGAGATCACTCGATGGTGCAGAATGATCGCCTTCAGGGCTCTGCGGTTCGACATCACATCTGGCCAAGATCCACGTGCTTCAAGGTCCGGAATCAATATCCTGAAGAACAATGCCAAGAGTCATGTCAACAAAGCTGGAAAGCTCAACGTGACCATTTCACAGTTGGTGGTATGCGTTCAATTGCGCTGCTCAGCCTGTCGCCACTTTGCATTCAATTTTTGGAGAAGTTGGCTGATTCGACCTCAGGGATGAAGGCTGGTTCTGTAGCAGCTTCGACTCAATCCTGAGGACCCTGACTTGATTCGCACTTACGCCGACGAAGAGTCCATTCCTCAGCCCGCAGCTCACCGGCGAAGCACTCCGCAAGTTGAAGCAAGTGACGGAGTTCCGTGAGGAGATCGATCTGGAGCCACACAGGCAAGAAGTCAAAGGCAACCCTTTTTAAAGCTTCGAAGAGGTCTTCATCTCATCCACGCCCGGCGGGAGCTGAGGCCAACACAGCCGCCTCAGCCTCCGAAGAGTTCAAAACCGGCGGTTAATTACAGCTGCTGGTCGATCGGGATTGATCTTGCCACCAGCCTTGGTCGTGGTTCTCCGAGCTCTGCCACCAGTTAGACGATGATGAGGATGAGTGCCACGAAGAGCTCTGCCAATCCTGATATACACACGCGATTGGTCCTGGGACGCCTTGCCGCGTCAGCCTCGGCGCGGGGAACGCCCAATGCCAGGGACGAAAGCCATGTCCTCCGCAATGGAATCGAGAAGTTCCTGAAGCAGTTCATCAGAATCTTTCTCATCACTTTTCACTTTTCCATTCGGCGTTGAACCCAAGGATCGGTGGCCACTTGTACTCCTGGCTATATCTGGCGGCGAAGACATCCGGCATCCGGCCTGTGAAGGCGGTTCTTCCAGTAGATGAAGAAGTCTTCGCTCACCGGCTTCACCTGCACGGTCAGGGTCGAAAACCAGCATCAATCAAAGTTCGATGCAAAGATCTCCAGAATCCACGAGGTGCATCCTTGGTACCATAGACGGGCTTCTTGGCACGGAGAATGGATCCAGGTTCAACTCCTGGGACGCCATCAGCAGGAGGACGCATGAGAAGCACTCTCGCCAGTCCAAGTCCTTGGAGGAAAGCTGCTGTAATGTCACCAACGTGCAGCATGTAGCCACGGCAGCTAGCCAGGACAAGCAGCATATGCAACATCAGGTGAGATGCTGTTGGACTGTCTGCGCGAACATCACCATCCTTGGCGGCCATCTCCAAATCACCTCGCACGACGATGCGGGACTTGTAGAAGGGGTCCTCATTCACCTCGGCCTTATCAATGTCGACCCATCTCATTGGAACAACTTGCCGGATTGATGTTCTTCCAGAAATTGTTGGGCGATAGTAGGCTTCATGACATCGCAAGCCTCAAAGTTCATCCAATTGCCCCACTCCTTTTCACGTGCCTTGTAGATGCCATCTCTGACTTCAGGAGTTTCACGGGCATAAACAAGCTCCTTGTTGCCTTCTGATTCTTCTTCTTGTGAGCTCTGCGGGCCAGGAAGTTGCTGAAATGGTCAGCTTGCTGATGAGGCATAGAGTCCACGAGGCGAGCGTGATCTTGCTCTTGAGGAAGGGATGCCATCCAATTGATCAGGTGATCGCCGTAGTGCTGCTTGAAGGGGAGTTGTAGTCTCCATAGGTGCAGCTGTAGCAGGCGATTCACGTTCGCCATCAGGCTCTTCAACAGATCGATGTCTTGATCCAGCTTCAACATCACCAGTGAGGTGTAGATCATCAAGCAAATCCTGAAAATCATCCCACTCAACATCTCCAGATGGTGGAGAGGTAGGCACATATTCGTTCTTCGAGGGAAACTTCAGGAGGTCTGCGGCGATCTTCTGGTAGTTCTGACGGCTGTGGTAGTCCAGGTGGTGTCGGAACGTCAGGTTCTTGTGAAGCTTGTGGTGGAGCATTTGGCTCTGCTGCGGCTGTAGCAGGTTCCTGCACAGGTTCTGCACTTCCACCTCCGGAGCCACTTCCGCCAATTCCACCAAGATCAAAGTACGATCCTTGTTCGTCAGGGCCATCATCACGTGGTGCCAATACCAGATCATCTCCAAATGGAGTGTCATCTTGTCCAGCATCCAGGACAGAGCGCTTGCGCTTCCGAGCAGGCTTCAACTCAGTCACCTGTTTTGCAAGAACTTCACCAGGTGCAGCTGGACGGACATTCTCTTCATTGATGACGATCGGTACACCTCCATGCAACAGCCAGAGGTTGGAGCGGCCTTCACGTCCGATCATGCGGGCAAGTCCATACCAGCGTCCAAGGCGAAAGAAACACAGTAGATCTCCTGTAAAATGATGTGGCCCACGTGAAGGCGTTGACTTCCTCAGCAGTGCAGCACGAAGACGACCGCT